AGAACATCAGGTTCGAATTCGACACCTCAAAAACCTCCTATTACCAAGTTTCGTTTAATTAAGTTCAGTATTTCAAAAGTTATTTGAAAAAAACGAAAATAAAAATAAAACTTCAACATCCTGTATCTTGGAAACGAAGCGTTTCCGGACATTTATTTATTTGGACAATTCATATTAGAATATTGTGAGGAATCACCTCCTGAAGTTTGTCAAAGTACTTTTGAATCACCCTGTATATAGTTGAATAAGAGCAACCATCAGTAGAAAATAATAGGAAATAGAATTACGGAAATAATCGAGGGGATTGTGAAGTTGTAATTATTTAATAATCTGGCATGTCGTAATATTTTTATTCTGGGTATTGGGGTTGCTTATTGGTACCGACTGATACTGTTGGGTTTTTACAATCAATTATTTCTTCGACAAACTTGATCAAAGTACATTAACTAAGAAACAATTTCCGAGATTGCAATATTNGACATTTCGTAATTCTCCTGTAGTTTATTTTCGCGTATCCGTATACACAGGGTGTTTATTAAACGTGCGGCAAAAATTAAGGGACTATTCCTTGGACTACTCTAAGGACATTTTGTCCTTTGATGATTTTTGATAGGTGCAAAAAGAATTTCGACAATAACAATTTTAGTAATTTTAAAATTATTAACGTAGCCGAAATGAAAGTATAGCTACACTGGACCATCTTTATTGTTTTCAATTGATTCGCTTAAATAATTATTTGTTCTATAGGTAAACCACGTTCAAAATTTAATTTTTTTAGCCCTTTGATGTCATGACTCTGTATTAAGATAATTTGTAGGCACCCTTTTGAACCGATATATTCACCAGGTCACACTAGCTCAAAAGGCCGTTGTTTGACTCGAAACTTTTTGTAGACCCCTCGTACTTGTTGTTTTCCATGACTAGGTCTTTTTGTAACGGCGTCCCATTCTGTTTCAGACGCGGAATCACGCCGCCACACCGAGTGAAGTCAATATCTATGGCCACATTCACCAACGAAGAAATAGATTTGCTGCGGAACCGAGGCAACCAATACTGTCGTAGGGTGTGGCTGGGCTTGTACGAGGGCGCGTCGCCGGGCACCGACGAAACATCGATCAAAGACTTCATGGTGGAAAAATACGAGAAACGTCGCTATTACCTGGACCCGGTCCATTCGAAAGTGTCGGAGGTGGCGTCGCAGTCGCCGTTGACTACGGACACTCCGAAAGCGGCGAAAGTCAACGGGGCTCAGATGCAGTCGGCGCACAGGACGAGACCGGAAGTGAACAGGAATAACGTCAGTGGCGGGTTCGCGGTTGATTTCGATCGGGCTGATATTTTCGGGGCTGGCAAGACCACCACGACTAACGGCAACCACCAGGAGATTAACGCGCCGCAGCAGAACGGTTTCGCGAACTTCGACAATAATCCCGTTTTCGGGAACAGCGCGAATACGGCGACGAATACTGGTGAGTTTTGATTAAATGTTTTTTTTTCCCTCAGAAATTGAACAGTATCAAACAATATAGAATGACTGTTTACTTTAACAAGGGCATATTTTCAGGAGATATAAATTTTTGAGGAAAAAAAGTTTTGGCTTTCTACTTCTCCATCTTCATACAAAAAATGTGGGAATCAGTCTTCCAGAGAAAGATAGAGAGTAATTAATTTCAAAATGAACTCTTGACAAAATTGTGAAGGTGATCTGCTTTCATAGTTACACGAAAGAAAAAAATACTGTCTTTCAACAGGAACTGCTAAACTTTGAAACTTGAATCTGGCTCCAGCCATCTCTACCGCGTCTGTCTGGATGTCGTGGATATACAAGGTGTAACAAAAAAGTTGGTCATGATTCGAAACACAAATCGATTTCGTCAGAAGATATTGGAAAATGGAGGTCATTTTGAACATCTAATTTAGAAATTATTACACATTCGTATATTCTGTACCTGCAAATAACATGGATACTCGGTTATTATAACGTAACGTTTTGTTACTCAAAATTTTGCAGCATGTCGATAAAAATTGACTTTTCGAAAAAGTGATACAAGGTAAAAAAATGATGTAGTAAACTAATGGTGTCACAATGTTATTGTTAAAGCAACTGTTTGTTATTCATCTGTAGGAGTTACAAGTGCTTACCAGCCAACTAAATAATTTTCAAAGGATAATGAAAAAAAGCCTGCACCTCGATGAAAACTGGCTTTTCGAAAAAGATTCCAAACCCCCTTCCCTAAAATGTTTATGAGCTAAACAGATGTCGTGGTTTTGAATGAAAAATATGCTCTTATGATAAGAAGGCTTTCGACCAATTATCATTACAAAATGTTAAACGGTTCGTGAAATATTGAAAAAAAAATATATTTTCATTTTGTACTTTCCAAGGGCTGTAACTTTTTTGTGTGCACATTTGCAATTGAGGTGAGTTATATCCAATAGAATATGTGTGGATCGCTGTATGACCTACATTTTTGTTACACCCTGTATATCAAACGAGCAAAATAGCGAATAGTGATGTACACTTGGAATAGACCATAACCAGTTTTTGCCGAGCCGCATTTTCCATTTTCTTGAAGACCTCTCAATGGTCATTTTTCTAAACAATATACGGCTGATTGATCCCAAAGTTTAGATAAAATAAATATAGTAGCAGGGTGCAAAATGGGGATTTACTCGAGCGTTATTAGTACGTTGAATGTAATTTTTTGTAGAGGTCAACGAAAAAAGCGATTCTCCTATAATTCAATATCGTGAAAGTAGTTGATTAAGGAGAACTTTTTCTTCCAGTTAGTAACTGAAAGTAAATTCTATTCATGATCCACACATCTTTGTGAAGAGTTCATTTTGATCCCGTTATTTTTTATAAAGAAGCCAGGACGTTTTTTTTTTCTCGAAATAAGGTTTCAGGATAAATCCTGTTAGGGATTTTATGAATACAACATCAAAGTGCTACCCTGCTACCCGTTTAAAGCCGAGAATAGTATCACTAGTTACGAAAAAGATTCAAAAACATTTGCTGCAGTCACCCGGTAGGTCTAAAATTGGCCATTCAAATGGCTGAACTGTGTAACAAAAGAAAACAATGAGCGGTGCGCAACTTGCGACATGCACTTCTAGAATAAAAGAAATAATCGTATAAAAGCCGTGTCTATTATTCGCAAGGTTTCCGTTCTATTTTTGATACGTACACCAATCGGGGTCAGGTGAAACGAAAATTCTGCAGGCCGATGAGATTATTTGTACGCTACATGTAGTTGTTGGACATTCACCGTGATCTCAACGTAATCAGTGATTTTTTGCTGGTATCTTTTTAGCAACACCGTTTTTGACAGATCACGCGTGAATCGTGTCTTGTGTCATCGTCAAACTTGTTCAGTTTGGTCTGTAATTTAACCATGAATCGACTTACGAATGAACGACGCTTGCAAATTATTCCACTTCTTCCAATTTATGGGCAGTTTCGTCGGCCTACTGAGGAAGTTATTCGGAAGCTTGTGACTAAATTTCGAACCCAGTTTACATTATTGGACATTAAACCACCAACACGCATACGTAGAGTGAGGTCTGAAGAAAATATTGCGGCTGTATCCGCCAGTGTTCGTGATGGCCGTGAAATGTCGATGCGCCGCCGTTCGCAGCAATTGAGCCTCTGTTACTCCACTACGTGGAAAATTTTGCGAAAGGATTTGGGTGTAAAACCTTGTAAGATACAGCTGGTGCAAGAATTGAAGCCACACGACCTCCCACAACGTCTAACATTTGGTGAATGGGCGATGGCAAAGTTGGAGGAAGATTCACATTTATATCGAAAAATTGTGTTCAGCAACGACGCTCATTTCTGGTTGAACGGATAAGTTAACAAGCAAAATTGACGCATCTGGAGTAAAGTACAGCCAAAAACATTGCACGAGCTACCGATGCATCCCGAAAAAGTCACTGTTTGGTGTGGATTATGGATCGGTGGCATCATCGGGCAGTACTTCTTCAAAGACGACAATGGCCGGACGTTATTGAGAATGGCGTGTGATGATTGACGACTTTTTGTTACCTAAAATGGAAGAATTGGACATGCCTGACTTGTGGTTTCAACAAGACGGTGCCAACGCGAAACAATGGCCCAATTAAGAGCCGTCTTCGGTGAACAGTTTGTCTAACGTTTGGGGCCCGTCAATTGGCCGCCTAGATCGCGTGATTCAACGCCTTTGGATTAGTTCTTGTGGGGTAATGTTGAGGCTCAGTTCTACAGGGATAAACCAGCAACGACTGATGCTCTGGAAACCAATATTGAAGCATTTATACGTGAAATACCGGTCGATATGTTAGAGAGAGTGTGCCAAAATTGGACCTGGCGCAGGGGCCATCTAAAGTGGAGCCGCGGACAACATTTGCATGAAATCATCTTCAAACATTAAATTATATTGATCGTGCTATCAATTCCAATAAAGATTTCATCAATTTTTTTCATTCATTGTTTTATAAATAAATATAGTTTAAAAAACATTGAGAGTGATATACGATAATTGGTTGTTTAAATATTTTGAAATTTGTTTCAAATTTTTACAAACTAGTGAAGTTTGTATGTATGGATGTTAGTCTGGGCCAATTCTTACAACTGCAAGCGACTGAACTAAACTTTTCTATGCACATTTAGTTTGGATGAAAATGCATGGTAAGCTAAGTTAAGTGACGCCATTCTACATGTAATACGGCGGATTGCTCAAGGTGGTGCACTAGATTTATATGCACTCCCATATAATGGCGGTTATAGATAGTTTGGATGTGCTTGAAAAACTACTAAAGGGACCAACTATGTAACAGTGACGTATTAAATGAAGTGAACAGACAAAGCAATAACTGAAAAAAAGTAAAAGTTTTTATTCATCAGCTCCTAGATGTACTGGTAGAACGATACGGTGCCAGACTAACACACAAAGTGTATCGAAAACCCACACACACAGATAGATACTTGCACGCACTATCGAACCACCATCCTGGTCAAAAGAGAGGAGTCATCTCCACTCTAACGGAACGGGCTCGGAGAATATGTGAACCAGAACATCTGGAGAGGGAACTGAAATACCTTGAAGTGACCTTGGGATCGAATGGATACAGTGCCTCCGAGATCAGGAAAGCCATGAAACCGAAGGGCACCATGGTTCAAAAAGCGAAAAAGGATCAGATGGTTGCACGCGCATATCTACCGTTTATCTCTAGGGTCACGGACATAACTGGAAAACTATGGGATAAACACGACATCGAAACAGTCTTCAAACCCACAAGGAAGATACAACAAAGCCTCAGGTCGGCTGAAGACAAAAGAGACCCATTATCAGCAGCAGGGGTCTATCGCATACCGTGCACTTGTGGGAAGGTATTTATCGGAACCACCAAGAGATCCATGGGAACAAGACTGAAAGAGCATAAAAGGAACTGCAGCCTAGGCTAAGCGGACAAGTCAGCTGTGGCAGAACACGTGCTTAGTGAAGGAGACCACATAATTTTGTTTGAAAACACAGAACTAATTTCCCCCAATCAGGGATACTACAGCCGACTGGTACGGGAGGCAATAAAGATCCACAAACACACGAAGAATTTCAACATAAAAGAAGAAGCGGTGAACCTCAATCGAATATGGAACCCGAGGCAGCAAGATTGTTAATGTTCCAGGTACAAGTACAGGTACAAATGCAGGTACCAATACAACTGATTACCTGACAAGGCATAAATACGCTTCACTCTAGATTTGACAAGCTGTATATGTTGATACATGGGCACTCTCTCCCGAAGTTTCCTTGTGTCCTTGTAGCATGTTTACGGAAAAAGCAGCACCACAATTTTGCAATGGATTTCATTCCGCAACGGTTTGAATCGGCAATCACCGGTAGATTAGTTTTTTTTTGTAGCTATATAGATCTAGGTTCTTTAACCGAATGACCGCTATATAAATTCTCGGGACCTTGACCTCGACAGAGTCGGTCGTCATTAACTTTTGCGGCATGTAATTAGCTATTTCTGGTTTTCTTCGGTTGAAGGGCGTGATCAGTCTTTTGTTGTTGTAGGTGTACGTTTTCTTCTTCAGAAAACGAGAGTCATTTTTGTTCAAATTCATAGTCCAAGACATGTTTAGTTAGTCAATTTGAGAGAAGTTGTTCAGTAAATGGTCTGCTTATTATTCTTTCGTTTGTTGAACGGAATACTTTGTGAATTACGCGCAAACTAAATGAGATTTTGATGAGCATTCAAAACCAAATTGTACCAGCCCCAGAAGATAGCTATTGGTCACACAAACTGATGTCAATAAGTACATTGGCGACATATAACTTAAGTGGGCGGAGTCTTTTAAAACAGAACGATTTTACGTTTCTGCGCTGAGTCATTTTAGTTGGCGCGTACTATATATCTTTGTATTTTTGGATCCCTATAGAGAGTCACCATTGCCTAAAACGTACTACCCAGAATGTAGGCCACA